GCCACGAAGAATTGAGGCAGTTCTGAAGGCAAAAGGGGGTCCAACCCGTTACTAGCGTGGTGTACCTAATAAAGTGGCCGGTGAGTGTATAAGTTCATGCCATTTACCATTTTATAACTTAGTTTCCTCATGATGCTGTTCCCCTGGCTTAGAGATAAACTTTCTTGCATAATCTGATAAATGTAAACAAAATAATAAATAAATAAAAGCTAATAACGTGTGGATTCTTTTTTTTTAGCATCACATTCATAGTTGACTGTTTGTATTTTTCCCCACCAGCACTGTGTGTGCGTGCAAAAATGAGTGCTTTCAAATTTAAAGCACATGAAAGCTTAAATAAAATACTGTTATTACTGACAAAAGTATCAGAAGCACCAAATCTAATGACAAGGTCAATCCTTTTAAAGGTTTTTGAGCACTTTATTAAACAATACACTACTTTAAAATACTTTTGTGTTAAATTAGTAGTAAAAACTTAAGACAAAAACCCAGAACCACAAGTTTTTTTTTGGTATTTTTGCATTGTAAGGCCTGGTTTGGCAAGGCCCTCTCTCAGCCTGGGCTCATTCTACCCTGGCCCTGGTTGTGTTTGCATTGAGCAGGGAGCCGCCTTGTTGTGAGTCAGATCACAATATTAAACATGTGCCAATCTTATCTAGTTTTATTTGCGACACAACAATAATGGACTACCCAACACCGAAGGAGAAGTACAGAAGGCTGTACCAGACCATCCAGCAGTATAGTGTAGGGCGGGACGACAGATGCTAATATTTGCTTTTGCTAGCTTGCTGTTGTGTGGTTGAACTCGTGTGAAAAAAAACCCATTACAGTTGCTGCAAACAATTCACGTAAGGTTACTCTCATCTGTGTGACGTAACCCTCGGTCAGTGAACCAATCATTGAGCAGCAGTAGCCAACGTCAAATCAGGCAGAACAGCCTAGTCCACATAGAACCACGGGCCTCAGGGTTCCAGAAATCAGGGTGGAACAGGCAGTGCAAAAAGGCCTATTAACTTCAGCCCTCACATATTATGACTAAATGCTCCTAATGTACAGGAACTTATAATCTAATAAATATTTTCTCTTCATTCCTCTCACCATCATCAGGCTACTGTATGTATCTCCTCCCCTCACATATGTTCGGTCCCGTGTGAGTGGTTTACACAAATATTACACCCTTTTTTTAAAAATGCAGCCTCAGTTCAGATAAAGTTGATGCACGTGCCAACATTCCTCCCAAAAAGAGGACAATCTGAGCTCTTCTGAGCGAGTAACCATGCCCACACGCCATCATGTGTGTAGACGTTAACACACACATATATACACACACACATACAGGCACACYTTAAGCACACATGCGCTCGCAGCAGATGGTTTAGTGAAGACGCCAGCGAGTTCCTGCTACGCTCAGATCAGCAGACACAATTATAGCAGTGTTTGTAGATGAAAAGGAAACAATCCTGAACAAAAGAAAAAAAAAAGTACACTGGCAAGAATGACTGTTAAATAGTTTAGTCCTTGTATTCTTGACCACTTCATGATGAGGTACATGCTATTGTGACTGGACTGAATGTGTGTGTGTTGTGTGTGTGTGTGTGTGGGTGTGTGTGTGTGTGTGTGTTGCTGAAAACAACCAAGCCAGAAGGAGCTGAAGCACAAAACACAAGAGAAAACATCCACAGACTCCCTGTAGACCATATTTAGGCTGTAATGAGCAGCAGATCTACCGTGCTGGAAGGACAGAGGAAGGCAATTACAGCTGAACGCCCTTCCAGGTTGTGGCCTGCAGAGATAGATATAGCGGAGGTGAAAGAGAGAGAGTGTGTGTGTGTGTGTGTGAGACTTGGTGGGGAGGTTAGAGGACTACAGGACAGAGACAGTGAGACCCATCTGCTGCTGGTTGTGACCAATCTGCTCTCCCACACACGCGCGCACGCGCGCACGCACGCACGCACGCACGCACGCACGCACGCACGCACGCACACACACACACACACACACACACACACACACACACACACACTGTAAAGCAGTATATCAACAGGAAAAGGCCAAAATGAATGACACCACGCCCCTTTGTGTGCGAGTGCGTCCGAGTGCTGACCTTCTCTTTCCAGTGGAGGATGCCGATAATGACGAGGATAAAAACGCACACTCCGATCAGAGCGATGGCTGTCAGCAGCACACTGTTGCTAGGAGTGAGGTACAGCTTGGCACTCCAGCTAAGGACAGAAAAAGAGCAAAAAATAAACTGAAAAAGTAAAAACAGAAAATTAGTAATTTGATGTTTATTTTATTTATTTTTAAATCGCAGCACTTTGAGAAAAACATCAGAACATCAGCAAAGACCACGACCATATCAAGCTCAACTACAAGAGATCAGTTCTACTTTGCTTTGCTGTGCAGATGAACATGACAGCTCTGCTTCAATTTATAAGAACTTTTAAACCTTTCCATTCATTCAGCCATTTTTATATACTTAATTTTTTCATATGTAGATATGATAGACTACATATGTGGATCCTTTATGTATCAAAGTATTAAACAAACAGTGAGAAAAWAGCAATGCAACAACAATAAATAATGAAACGCATGATACTGTGTAATAAAAAGAGCAAACAATCTTCATGCAGCTAGAGAACATGCCTTTAAAGTCCAGCATATTTGGTTTAATCCTCCTGACAGTTAAGCACAATGGTGTAAGTGTGATGATATGGGGTGAATGAGAAAAAATGTGTTGGGGGGAAGAAAATTAGTTTTCCTTAGTATGGTGCAGTACATTTCCACTTGGCTTTGCTATTTCCTGCTTCATTTACCACCGCAGTTTATTAGCAAATGAGAGAAGCACTTTCAAATCTGGATGATGTTATAAAAGATGCTCCACAAGCATCGACCTTTAACATTTTACTTGTAATATTTAACCTGTGTGCATAAACGTAATTAGTGTTGTAAATTGTTTGACTTTATGCAACTTCACAGAACAAATAAAAGMACAGTGTATGCTTCTGGAAATAATGTTCAGAGCCAGACTTGAAGATTCGCTTTGACCAATCAGGAGTGTTTCCCCAACACCTTATAGTACCTGCGGAACTCACTTTGAAACCTCAGCAGGTATGTGCACAACATTTACTGTTAAAGCACAGTGGTTTAGAGTCGCTAAAGACAAATAAGCTGCTTTTTAACAATAAACTTTTGCAACGATGAAAACAAATGACTAAGAATCATTTGACAACAGAGTAGCTGCACTGTGATATTTATGACTGTTTTCGTGGTGGCCATCAGCATCCAAACGGAGGAAGAAATGTGAGCGTGTGTTTGTCTGAGCCCGACAGCCATCTGGAGCTCCTCCTGGGGTTTGAGAACAACATGTGAACAACACCATGATAACATGAGCACACACGCTGCGATGCCATGGTGTTTGCRCACTGGGCATTGTTTTCCTCTGACGCTCTGTGGTAACACAGCGTGCGTCAATATACAGTTCAGTGGTATCAGTTGAGATCYGTAAAGACTTGATCCGTGTCCACAGCAACAAGCATCAATACTGTTTTTGGGTAAAGTGTAAGAAAACACAGAAACACGAGTACTTGTACTACGTCTGGTACATGTTGTAGTATGAGAGTCTAACTCTCGGTCCGGTAGATGAGTGTTTACGTACTTGCGTGGGTTATTGTGAGGGAACGGAATGACAATAAGCTGCGAGTTGGGAATGATGGCTGTCCACTCCTGCTTCCTGATGTTCTGAAAAAGAAAACAAAGAGAAAACTTACACAAAGACACGACAAATGCAGATTAGGCGTGTCTCGATCCAGATTTTTTGGCTCCCAATACAATCAGATTTTTTTAATGATCAGTCCTTCCGACACTGATCCGATAGCTTTATTTCTTTATTTCTTTCCAAGTGACAAGGTTGGTAGTATTAAAGCGAGCCCTGCTGTTCCCACCACGAGAAACATCCAGTTTGCAGATTTTGCTAGATGCAGTTTCAGCACCATTATTTTCCATTGAAAACTTGTGTGCGTCTTGACTTCTTAATGGCAGTTGTAAAGCATGATGATGCTGAAAACTGTCGCAAAAACTGGATCGGCCCGATCACATGACTTAATCCCATTCTACTCGATTTTCAAAAAATGGCCATATCTGCCACCAATACCGATACTGAGTATATGATCGGGACATCCCTAATGCAGATTTCTAGTCATACGCACATACTTATAGTATGAAACGTTATGTCCTCTGAGACACAGTAATGGGTCGCAGTCATTCTTTTCAGCTGAGCATTAAAGACACAGTGAACCTGCTGCATAAAATATAACACTCTGGCTGTGCAGAGAGACTGTGTGTGCACGCAGCTCGGCATTTCTCCACAGATGATTAAGTATTTCTGTGTCAGTCTGTGAATCTAGCCACCAGGCAGAAGTGTGTAATAATCTTACTCTTTTTCTTAATAAAATATACATCATTTAAAGTCATTTTTAAAAATCAAAACCCATTGCCGGATAACATACACTACATCTGGGAACACAAGAGCAAGCCGACATCAAAACAAACCAGAAGAAAACTGGTTTCCTGTGCAGTGTTTATCTTGTAATACAGGGTGGCTTTTTACCTCCCGACTGCTTTTTGTTTCATGTATCGGTGAGCGTATCCTCACACACTGACTGTGAAGAAAATGATGGACGACAAGTATCACTGTCCCTTTTCTGTCTCTGCGGACTCAGAACTGATTGTACTGACACAGAACTGTGTGGGCGTTGACAGAGCTCGACTGACAGGCCACTCACTCTGCTGTGAAACTTCATTAAGTCAAGTTTCACTCCGAGARGAGATTTATTCAGCAGGCGCGCTGCAAACACAAGAGTCACAACCTGTCACACCTGGCCGAGGCTAAAAGCCCTGCAGATCCGTGCATCGGCTGTGATCAGAGGGCAGGAGGAGCAGCTTGTTCTTTTTTTTTTTTTACCTAAACCGGACTGGAAATGTGAAATGTTTTACTGCACAGGCACTGGTAATACAGTGTGGTGTGATTTCTTAACACCAAAATCATCTCTCTTTAGATTATTAGCCTAACACTTCAGAAAAACTGTAAAAAAAAAAGAAGAATGCAAGCATGTGCAGGCTTTTTAATTATGTGGACTTTGTGTGAGGTCTACATGATAAGGTTAAACACTGGAAACTAAACTGATAACAATTTCATTTTAATTTTAAGTTTCGTCTCCAACTGTTCAGCACTGGAGACCAATAACGACAGTAATAATCTTCTTTATCTAAAAGTGATTTAACGAGAAAAGACTAAAGACCATTTCTAGTCCACAGAGGTGTCAAGTAACTAAGTACAAATACTTTGATACTTTACTTAAGTAGAAACTTTGGCTATTTATTCTTTAGTGGAGTAATTATTTTTCAGCCTAAATTTTACTTCTACTCCTTACATTTTAATTCAATTATCTGTACTTTCTACTCCTTACTTCAAAAAAAAATGCAAAAAGTATTTAATATTGTTTTTGGGCTCAAAAGATGAGGACAAAATGAACTTAAAGTGAATATCTCAGAAGTCAGCCATTGTCAACCG